CGATATTATTTTTGCTTGATATATTTTTTCTGTCCTTTGTTTTTGAATTATTTTTGTCTTTGTGTCTAAGATGTGTCTCTTATAGGCAAGATATTGATGGCTCATACTTTTTTTTCTTTGAATCCATTCTACCACTCTCTGTCTCTTGACTGGTGCATTTAATCTGTTTACATTCAGTGTGATTAATGGTAAGTATGAATTATTGCTGTCATTTTATTCACATTTTTTGTGGTGTTAATTTCTTTATTCCTCATAATTTTGTGTGGACAGTTCTTTTTGTATGTGGATTTTCTTTTCATATCAGTTATTATTGTTTTTGTGTTCACTGAATATTTTTTATTTTCTTGTTTATTAACAAATCTACAGCTTAACAACTCTGGTTCCCTATAGTAAGTTCTATAGGTTTGTTTTACTTTTGTGAAATCTTTATCTGGTGTCTGGGTGATGCTATTGTGTGCCTTTATCTCAGTTTGTTTTTTGATGTTGGTTCTGTATCTGAAGACCTCCTTTTAATATTTCCTTTAATGCTGACTTTTTTTTTTTTAAACAAAACAAAACAAAACAAATTCCCTAAATTTTTCCTTATCCAAGAAAGTCTTAATTTCACCATTATTTTTGAAAGACAGTTTTACTGTGTATGTTTCTTGGTTGGTAATTCTTTTCTTTTAGGATTTTATATGTATCTTGCCTGCATGCTTTCTGATAAGAAATAAGCACTTAGTCTTATCGTTGTCCCTTTGTAAGTGGTGTTTAACTTTTTATTACCTGCTTTCACAATTCTTTCTTTGTCTTTGGTTTTAGACAGTTTAATTATGATATGTCTTGGTAAATTTCTTTTGGAGTCCATTCTGTATGGGGTTCATTGAGCTTCTTGAATAGAAACCTTCTCATCATTCATGATATTTGAGAAGTTATCTTCCAATACATGTTCCAAATTCTCTCTGTATTTTATTTTTTTTCCTTTCTCCTTTCCTGGAATTCTTATTACCCATAAGTTATTCCTCTTGATGGTGTCTCACATAGCTCTTAGGCTTTCTTCATTGTTCTTCATTCTTTTTTTCTCCTTATTCCTTGAACAAATTTGTATCATGAGATTTTCCTTCTAGTTTGCTGATTCTTCCTTTAAGTGATTCAATTCTACTTCTGTGTCCTTCCATTGTATTGTTAATCTTCTGAATTTCTAATTGTTATTGTTGTATGGTTTCTAATTGTCTATTGATGCGTCTTTTGTTCTTGTATTGGTTTACCAAATTCTTCTAGGGAATTTTTAATGTTTTCCTTTATCTCCTTGAGGATCCAAATATAAATCATTTGAATTTCTTCTCAGGTAGTTCTATTATCACTTTTTCCTCAGGAAAGTTTTGTTTCTCTTTATTTTGCTCACTTGTTCAAACGATGTTATTTCTTCATGTGATTTGTTGTTGTCTGCTGTCTCTGAAGCATTAAGGTGTTATTTTATTTATTTATATATTCATTGATTGATTGTATGCTTGTTTGTTCTTTCCTGACTTTTTTCTTTTGTTTTGTTTTAATATACCAGTGTGGGCAGGGCAGGCATGCTCCACTGATCGTTAGTCTCATGGCATGGAAATTCTTGCCTCTTATTGCCAGGTAGGTGAGGTGGTGTTGTGAGGGGTGGGTGAGGGGTAAGGGTACTCGCTTGTATCAAAGTCACTGGATGGGCAGGAAGGTGGGAGTAGAAGTGGCTGCTACTGGTTAGTGGGAGTATGGGAAGGAGGGAAAGCATGTTTCTGTGGCCACTGGGCGTGGGTGCTGGGGCACATCCCATAGCTGGTAGCCAGCAATTAGGACCTTTCTTACACAAGGTGAGGATGGGGTGCTGCCTGGAATCTGGTTTGGTGGGGAACCTTCTGCTGACTCTCTATGGATCTACTACTCCATGTGTGCCATCCACCCTAATGTTCATGGACTGCCATTAATGAGTGGTCCTTTCTCTGTATCCTGGCTCCCTCCCCAGTCTTTCCATGTTCTGTGTTACCAGAATCCCTGGAGCTCTTTCCTGCCTTCCTGTATTTTTATTTCTTAGATCTTGTTCATGTCCTGTTCACCTTGCTTTACTCTGTGCTTGTCTACAGTTTCTGTCTCATATTGTTAATTCCATGAATTTGCCTTCCTATGCTCCTCACCTAGGGTTGCTACTTGCCTTGTTTCAAGATGGCAATGCTGCACCAGGTCGGCTGTCAGGATGCCTCTGATCTGTACCTCTTCTTGTCCATGGTTTTTGTTCACTTTCTCCTTCTAATCAACATTTGATCTAATTCTCTATCCTTCCTTTTGATGCTCTGGGTTCCAGGATTGTCATCTATTATCTGTTTCATTTGGTGACTCAGATCTTTGCTGTAGAGGGATGACATAATATATCTGACTAAGCTGCTATCTTGGGCTGTCACAAGGAACAATAAATGTTTGTTGAATGAAAGTTGAGTAATTTACATATTCATTGGCCTGTGTACATTCAGTGTATTGCATATATGCAATAGAGTAAGCACTGTTCTGGGCCCAGGGATAATATAGTGAGCATGACGAATGCAGGACCTTGCTCTTGTTAGTCTCTTATTAACAGAGAAGACAGGCTTTGATACAAGTCATGACAATAGATGATGAGGAGAGTTATGATAGAGAAGCATAGAATTCCAGTGTAGTATCTAGAAAGGAACTTGCCTTATAAAGGGGGTCTAAGCATCCCCAGAGGAAGTGATGTTTAAGTTGGGACCAGAATTGTGATATGAAACCTGCTGAAAAGGGTTAGCACAGTAATAGTAAATTTACTTACTGTACCTTTGTTAGTGTATTTGGGAGTGATTTCTTTTCCCCTGTCCAACTGTGCTACCTGGCTGACTCTTCATATTACCTTCATGGAGACAGAAACTTTGTTGTTTAAATTATTTTTTTATAAGTATGGCTCTTCATCTAGTTGTTCAACATTCCAACATTTTAGAAATCAAGAACACATACTTATCTTTTGATATATATATTGTTTTAGTATATGAAATCAGTGACAATATTCTACAAAGGCTATAATAATTTTCCAATTCAGAACAGCAAGAAAAGATAATCTTTTTTTTTTTTCTTTTTGTGAAAATTCACTGCTCTCTAAATCTCAGAGATCAGTTTAATTTTTCACAATCCCACAGCAGCAATTTTAACTTTCAGGGAACCACATAAAAGTCACGCATTTACTGGTCTTAAAAACTTACCATTTCCAGTATGAATTTCCTGAAAAATAATAGCTGATAGGAATCCCTGGGTGGTGCAAATGGTTGAGAGCTCAACTACTAACCAAAGGGTTGACAGTTTGAATCCACCCAGAGGCTCCTTGGAAGAAAGCCCTGGTGATCTGCTTCCAAAAGGCACAACCTTGAAAACTCTATGGAGTAGTTCTACTCTGCACATATGGGGTCTCCATGAGTTGGAATCTACTTGCAGCAACTGGTTGGTTGGAGTTGGATATCAATCAAATGTAACTTTATGCATGCATTAGAAAGAATAATAGTACTAGCTGATCAAGTGCTTGCTAAGTGCCAAACACAGCTTTTTTTCAGTCTTCATAAAAATGCAGGTATTATTATTGTTAGCTCTACTTGTAGATGAAGAAAATGTATCACAAAGAGGTTAAGTTACTTGTTCAGGGGAGTAGGACATCAAATCAGGCAGACTGGTTCCAGAGCCCACACTGTTAATCACTGTGCTATATTACCTTCTGGTCATCTATATCCCAATGTGAAAAGAAGGTAAATAGGTAAAGAAAAAGAACAAATTGTAAAAGTTAAAATAGTATGATACCATATGTGAAAAATATGTATATGTATATATATAATCTTCTATATTTATATTTTCTATTTATAGCATGTAAAATATTGATGCATGTGTTTCCCTATGACATATATCTGCCTATCTATCTATCTAGGAGCTCTGGTAGCTTAGTGCCTAAGGCACTTGACTGCTAACCAGAAGGCTAGTGGTTCAAACCCACCAGGCACTCCTCGGAAGGAAGATGGGGCAATCTACTTCTGTAGTGATACTGCCACGGAAACCCAAGGAGGGGTCACTATGAGTCAGGTCCGACTCGAGGGCACATAACAACAATAACAACATCTATTTATCTATCTATCACATGCATTCATGGAAAATTTCAGTATAGATATATAAGAGCTGAAGTTTGGGTATTTTGGGAAATTAGTATGGATTTTTTTTTCTTTATGTACTTTGGTACTGTAAATTAAAAAAAAATTTAAACAATAAGGACAATTTAAATTAAAATTCAAATAATAGGGGATGTGGTAATGTCTAACAATTATGTCACTGGAAGGGAAGAGGGAAAATTTTATTTTATACCCTTCTGAACTGTGAACTTTGAAAAATAAGTACATATCACTTTTGTAATAAAATGTATTTTAACTGGAGAAACTTTTAAAATAGTGGACATGATATTTCTTTAACAGTTACGTACTATCAAATATCATTATTTTTGTGCCTAAGCATTGGTTATTATTTTATTGCTAGTTTAAAATAAATCTGCCTATATAAAACTTTTATCAGAGAACTGCTGTCTTATTATCTTAAAGGCTGGCTCTTTTCTAACAGTCATTGAATTGGAAAGTAACTCAATGAAGATTTACCTTATTTTTATGAACAGGATTGTTTCCAGTTGAAGTCTTAGTAATGAAATCTTTCACAACAAATGAAGAGTTAGCCAATGCAGAAATTGACAGCAATTTTACTACATGTTGCTAGTCAATTGAACACAATTTTCTTGCAGGAAGATGGTCTTCTGCTTCTTAAATTCCAGAGCATTTATCAAAAACAAATGTCAATTTGAAACTGCACTGTTTATTAAGAGGTGATATTCGAGTGCCAACTGGCAGTATTTAATATTATGCTTAGTCATTGAGTGTGCTTGGAATTAGGTTGGCTCATAAATGTTGAACTAGGCATACTGAAATTTACAGCAAAACTTATTTGTGGATTGTATTTTGCAGGTGATGCTTTGAAAATATCAGCTGAAAGATTTACAGATGACCCCTGTTATCTCCCAAAAAGGGAGGCTGTGGTTCAAGCCGCCCGTGCCTTGTTGGTTGCAGTTACGAGACTCCTTGTCCTCGCAGACATGATTGATGTCATGTATCTTCTGCAGCACGTGTCAGCTGTAAGTAAAAGATGACTTCATTTACCTTGGCATTGTTGTCACTGCCAATTCCATTCTCTGAACCTGGCATCAATCCTAGTGTATCCTGGCCTCACCCTCATTTCTTAACATCACCCATCAGAAGCTGACTGGATTGGATTGTGAAGACTAATGTATGCCTTAGGAGAAGTAAGCCAGAAGTTAGTTCTAAAGCCAGTGAGAAATTGAAAATCAACATGTCTTATGGATAAGGAAATGGATGAGGAAGTTCTAGGCTTTTTTTTTTTTTTTTTT